ACGCTGGCTGGAGTCGGAAGGCCCTTCAGCCTTCACAAGTCCTAGCCGATACCAGCAGCACCAACAAAGGCCGTTGTTTTCCCCAGAAGTTGCAGAGACAATAGCACAACACTCACAAATGCTGGCTGGAAGCTTCAGCTGTGACTGTTGACCATTAACATCCTCTGCACCCCAGCCAGGTGATGGTGGGGGAGCCAGGCCATCTACTGCCCCTGCAGCCATCCTAGAGTGAGAATTCAAAACAAGGATTTAGTTGAGACAAACAGGAAAAATGTGGGTGGAGTGGAGCAATTCTAGCCCCAACAGCACTGCTGTGCGCTGTGCCCAGCAAAGCCAGTCCAGTGCTCCCCGCAGAGGTGCCTGGCCTGGTGTGCCAGAGGGGAGGAATAAGCATCAGCCTAAGCCTAACAGGGTGGGGGTGAGAGTCACAGGGACTCACAGAGCCCATCCTGGTGCAGGGAGGAGGGAAAGGGAAACACAGCAGTGAGGACAAAAACCAGGCTTCACTAAAATAACTAGCGTTTCGAGTAAACAATATAAATAGCGCTCTGCCTGGGGCCGAGGGCTAGAGCCTGGGTCGGAAACTACACTGCAAAATCAAACAGGAGTCTTGGGACACCGCTGCTGCACAGCCAGGGACAGGACGAGTCCCCAGAAGACCTGGGGCTTGGTCTTCCTCAGGGCGAGGTAGAGCAGGGAAGGCTACGGTATGACGGAGACCACGATGAGCTGGGAACTCATTGGGGGAAAGTAGGGAGCAGTTGTGAAGCAAAGGGCAGGCAGGGGGGAGAACTGTTCAGTGGACAGCTGAGATGATAGATGATACATTTGTCTTCTTGAGCAAGTTGAAAAATGTAACTTGGGGTCATCCCAGAACGATTTCTTTTATCTGAAACCAACTATTCCATTTCAGAAATTACTGAACACATTTATTTTGTTGTTAACCTTTTATTTAGGTCACTTCATATTGAAAAGTAAAGAAAGGTTGAAATTAAATCATTTTCCAACTATTTCCTTCTGTTTTAATTTTTGGGGGGCAAAACGCTCTGCTGAAGGTGGCCCGAGTGTGTACATAAATGCAGCCCCCACAAAAAAAACCCCTTCGTTTTCCCACAAGTTATCATTAATTGTTAAAAAAATACTGCCCAGCTCTGGTAACATTTGATCTTGAATTCCTGTGTCTGAAAAGGCAATCCTCCTATCTCAAACCTACCCCACCTACCTCCCCTGCAAGCCAAAAAACCATGGAGCTGGCTTTGCTTGCAGCGCATGGCAAGATGTGCAACCGGAGAAAGAGCCCACAGAGCAGCAAGCACCATCCCCTGCCTGGCCCGAGCTCTCCTGCACGGAGCAGGCAGCAGTGCAAGCCCCTTCTCAACCTGCTCTTGCCTTGGTTTCACCCGGGATCGCTCCCATCTCCCACATTACCTGGGTGGGAGGAGAAGCCAGACGCCTCTGTAAATCAGTGCAGCCAGTCATGTTCCCAGGTTGGATCAGCTCCTGCTGATGGGCAGATCCTGCCTGCTCCAACTACTTCCAAAAATTAATAAATGCAGAGGTACAGATGTTCTGCTTGGTCTCAGCATGCCTGAGCCTCCCACAGCAACCGGCCCTGGACTGCGATACCCTCAGGGCAACGCTGAGAGAGCAACAGAGCTCCATGTCCAGCCTGGCTAGCACTGGTGTTCAAGGGCCCCCTGTCCCCATACCACGGGGACAAACTGTGGGAATGTCTTGAGCTGACATCATTTAGCAAGGCCTAAAAATCATCACCCTCATACTCGATTTCCCTCTTTGTCAGGCTGTACACGACAAAGAATGGCTGGTCAAGCTCCCTCACTGGGGGCGACCCTTACACAGATGCTGAGATGGGGTGGTGGTGCTGGGAGCTGGGACCAGGGCTGCAGAGCTCAAAGGAAACAGCCAAGGGACTCCCCCCTCCAGCTAGGAGGCGAGACGGCTTTGTGCCCCCGGTGAGCTCGGGCAAGCTCTCGGATCAGGCAAATACTGGGGGGGCAGGGAGGCATAAGCCTCCGGTCTTTTGCCAGCTGCCTCAGTTTGCAGAAGGGAAAGCAGCCTGGCCATGGCTGGGTGCTATCTCTGAGAGGAACCTTCTTCAGGCTAAACACTGACCCAAATCCATCAGCCGGTCATGCCAACCCCTCCTTCCTGCACCCATCTCATATGGAAGAGCCCCTGAAGAAAAGTGTCTGAAGAGGGGGTTACATGACACGACCTGCTCTGCTCAGCCTCAGTGTGCTCTCCTGCATGCCTTGCTGCCCTACGAATTGCAGCGCGGGAGCTTTAACCATGCAGGAACACCAGCATGGTGCTCTCCACCCCTACGGTGGAGGCATGCCGATGGCCTGCGGTCACCCCTCTGCTACGCTGCTGAGAAGCAGCTACCACGGCATAAAACAGCGTGTGAGGAGAAGCGAGGCAAACGGGCCTTAGTGCAGAATGAGGACAGCTCAGGCTGAGTTGCAGTCCCCTGGGTGGCTTACCCAAGCTCTGGTCTGTGTGAGAAAGCCCATGTTTTTTTTTTTTTTAAAATTGCAGTTTACAAACAATTCTGAGAGTAAGCAACTCTGAAACTGTGAGTTTACAGAGAAGAATTATGCTTGCCTGTGGGGCTGTCAACTGCATGTAGTTCACATCTGACAAATGCTCTGCGTGCAAAATGGCTTGAGCCCAAGCTATTTAAAAAGAGTGCTGGATTTAGGTGCTTGGTACATGCAATTAAGCTGATGGCAGTACAATATCATTTATAGCGTTACTTTCCATCTCCAACATGTCAGAGAAAGCATTTTCCTACCACAGCAATGATCCTTTTGGAGCCCTGAGGAGACTTCAAAACCTTTTGTGAAAACACTAACTCTAATGAGGGCCATTTTATAAATTACAAAAATTGCACAAAATGGCTGAAGTGGTTACGAGGTACTCAGAACTCCAAATTTCCTGGCTGTACAAAAGGCAGAATAATCATCCTTCAGCTTCACTTTCAAGACCAGAATTTGCAAGCAATAAAATCTATTTCCAAGAGGTCTAACACTGTGAGCCTCTCACACTGCCGGAATCACTGCACAGCTTGACAACACAGAAGTGTCTGCTGAGAGGAAACCCTACCATCAGGCTATACGCTAAAGTTAAAAGAAAGTTTTTACCAGAACCTCGCTTTGAAAGAAATGTGAAACAATACCTGTCCTTCATTATACCCAAGTTAAACTTCATCAAAGATGTCAGCTCTGTCAGCAGCAAACCGATGCAAAATTTCAAGAGTGAAAGCCAATACCTGCCAGGGCATGGCATCTTTGTTTTACAAACCCATCTTTGTCACGAGCTAATTTGGTCCTCTTTCAGTCTGATGCTACCCATCACATCTATTGAAGAAAACAGAGCATTATTCCATTTTTAGCATCATGTGGATTAAACAAAGCCTCCTTAGCAAGGAGGCTCCCATTGCTGAATTTGTCCTCTGAGCAAAACCACAGCTGAACTGTGAGGTGCCTTTCTCTTGGCCAGAGATACCAACTTGTGAGCCATCAGTTTGAGGTGGAGAACAGAAGAATAAGATCAATCTGAGAGCCTTTATGCGGGCAAAGCTCTTATTTGCTGTGGTGTTCAAATAGGCACTGCAAGACCTTCTATTTTAACGTTGCCCTGGCATGCCTGGTCTTAAGGCTATGACCTGTGACTGAACTCCTTGAGTAATGACATTTTCGCCAAGGAACAGAAACATCTGATCTGTAGCAATAACAATCAAGTATTTTATATGCCTATATGGGGAAAAAAAATTCCGATCAAAGCTTAAGAAAATAAATCCCCCTCCCAAATACAACCTGACAGCAAACTGAGCCACGCGAATCCAGCTTGTGCTTGCCACCCCACCAACCTGCTGGTACGTCAGCGTGGGGATGCAGCCATTCCTGCCTGCATCCAGTCCCACTGCTGCGAGCAGATGACGATGTGCTGAGAACCTGTGAGAACACTCACCCATGCTGCCAGCTTATGTGCCAGGAGCTCCTGAAAGGTGCTGCTGGGGAAGATGGTCACATCTTAACGAGCTTATTTGCTAACATTTAGTTTGGCCCCTCTTCTACCATATTTGCTGTATCATGAACATATATATGTATAAATACGTACTTTTCCCTCTTTAAAAGCCTCTCTCCCCATTATCCATCCTAATGTGGAGAGTTGGAGGGCTTTTTCTTTTTAAAGCGATTATGATTATGTGCAACCTTTGCTCCCGAGTCATTCACACAGAAAGCACAGACAAGCCCCCCTGCTGCGAGGTGACAGCTCTGTCTGGCTCTGCGGGGCTTTGGTATTCATAGCTCCACGAGGTCATCGCTGGAAAAAACCTTGACAGTGATGTGACCTGGCACCTCGGCTGCTTCGCGGCCGCCTCTCCCTCGGAGCTGCAGAGTCTGCTGTTCTCTGGGGTCACTGGGTGAGGCTGCCAGCACTGCCTGTCCGAGGAACTGGTCACACAAGATGTTGCTGTTCCAGACCTAGAGACAAGGGAAGAGAAATAAACCCAGCTGAAGCAGTGCTTCTCTCACCCTCCACCTGAAAGGGCTGTGCTGGAGGAGGGTCACCCCCATTAGCCCCTTGAAAAAGCAGTGAGGAGGGGGCATACATCTAAATTTAGCTAATTGTCTAGAGAGCATGGGGGAGATTCTGGATTTGCATGCTCATTTACATACACTATGCAAATAAGGAGCTAAATGCAGCTTTTTGCTTTCTAGGTCACAGCCTGCCTAGAAGAGGAGTAAAAAATACCTGTTTGAGCTCATCAGCAGTGAACACCTACAATGCAGTCAGCCTGCCTGTGCCACTCTGCCTGCTCATGCTCACCTCTGCAGTGTCTCCAGTGCTTTTCCTCTGTGTTCGAGCCAGGTCCATGCTGCTAGAGCAGGGGACGGCCATAGTTTTGGAGTCCTTGGATGTGTCCTTTGTCACTACTGAGGATGGGGTTGGGCATACAGCAAGCAGCAACTGAAATGGTGTTTACTCTTGCGTGCCAGTCTTTGTTTGGTCTGTGAAGTTCATTAGTATCTAACTGTCAGTTACCCTGGAAAAGTCAAAGTGTTTGAGCTGCATGCTGTAGAGAGATGGGGTGAGGTCCCTTGTATAAATCAAATCTTTACTAAGGATTAGGCAATCCTGCACATGCCAAGAACACAGACCATGTTCCATCAGCTATTGTATCAGTCCCCTCTAATCCACAACTACATCTGTGGTTTGGGGGATAACACTACTATCATCCTCCTTCTATTTATAATATTTGTAGAATATACCTAATTAGTTCAGAGGAGTGCTATGGCACAGGATTACACTACACCAGTACTGCATTAGGCAGCAAAAAGCCAGAAACTCATCTCTTGCAACACAGTGCTATAAAGCTATTTCAATTTCTGGCACTTAGGTGCCACAGTGAACGATTCACAGATTCATTGTGAGATCTCCCTACACTGATGAAGAAGACACAGTCCTTAGTATTTGCCTAATACTAAACAACTGAGTATATCAAACTGAAATGCTGATCCACTCTCCCAGAGTTTTGCTGGACTGCCTCATCTAATACCAAGCTCTGTTTCTCCAGCTGGTGCTGAGGTAAACAGTGTGGTCCAGTTCCCACAGGACTAGAATTCAAGGTAAAAAAATTCCTAATAGTAGCTGTAGCTTTGGTTTTATTTCCAACACTGACTCTGAACAACACTTGGCTTTTCTTTGTCTTTGTTTTGTCAGGTACCAAATGAGGGAAAAGGTAATTCTGTAAATCCCTTCAAAGCCTTGGAATGAAATACGCCTTCTGATCCCTGAGTGTCATCAGCTGTGTTTCATGGAAGAGACCTAGACTAGAGATTCAGTAGAACTGCTGAATAGCTCCAGGCGTAGCCCAGTAAGGGGAGCAGAGGTTCTCACCCTTCCATCCAGTTATATGAAGGGTTAGCGCACGTCAAGCCCAGTGATGCTGTTGTGCTCCCCTACCCCTACCCTGGGTGGCTTATCTCACCTGGACAATGATAGGACTGTCAATGTTCTTCCTGTAGAAAATCACTTGTGTGTTGAAGACAGGGCTGGTCGTATCGTGTTGCACAGGGGAGCGCAAGTTTTGGTTCTCACACTTGATAAGCACATAGGGATCTGCTCCTGAAACACAATCAGTGGCACAGCGATTAGGATGCAGAATGGAAGCTGAGACCTACCCAGAAACCCGGCAGAAGCAATCCCCTCCCATGCCTGGCAGCACCACTGCTGCTGAGCACAGGAGCAGGGCACCGGGGCACATCCACTGCTAGCTGCCCATCACCAGCAGAGCTGACATACCCCACGCTTGTGACAACTGGATGCTCAGAGCTGGAAACCAAGCACCATTTGCTGTGAAAACAGCTCACTCCTAGACGGGGATTGCGATCTTTCCACTTCCCCTTGCTGTGCATCCTCCTGGCTCATCTTACAGAAAGCCTTCAAAGTGACACTCTAAGCTCCCCGACACTGCTCTAGATGTGAGAGCCAAAACGCATCAATGCAATATGCAATCTGCCATGTAGTTTCTGGGCACCTGGGCCAAAACGGAAGGTAAAAACTGCTCATCATGCACAATTCCTATGGAGGGCAAGGACAGGAACTGCACAGACCTGCTTTTAGATCGTTGAATGCTCATCTTGGTGCCCACCTTTGGGCTGCCGAGCTTGGAAGCGCTATCTACTCTATTCTGATATGAGTGTTAGCGTTAGGAGGTAGTTTTCAAGAAGCCATTTCTGTTCCAGAAAGTAAAATATTGTCAAAATGCAAAAACATTTTGTAGGTGTGCACTGGTTTCAACAAAGTTCTCTGTGGGAAACTGTCAAAACAAATCCTCTCCAGTTTATCATTTCATTCCCATGAACCTGAGACAATTTCTTCGGTTCTATCATTTGGATATATGTAATTGTAAACTTTGTTATCACAGTATGTTTGTATCTATTATAGGTCCTAATTAATGTTTTAAATGACACTTTAATCATATGTAACGCACTGAGATTATTCGACATTCTAGAACTGCTTTGTTGTTTTTACACTGAATATTTTTACTTTGTTATGTTGATATTTTCTTTCCATTCCAGTAGGGAGCAAGAACAGATTTGTCTATCCTCAAATAGAACGGACCATTCCACTTTCTAATTAACTTTCAATGAAATGCAAGCACTACCATTTTTTTTTGTATTTCAGCACAACTCTTTCTGTCCATTCCTATTGTGAAGGACAGCACATCTGTTTTTCCACACCTTGCTACTTTTTAGATACGGATTTTGAATAAGCCCGCTGAATGTAAGTGTAAGCGTAAGTCAGACTCGCGATCATTTCTTACACACATTTCGTCACTGTCTACGTGAAAATGCCGCTGCTGGAATGACAGCCGTAAAGCAGCAATAATTTTAAGGCGGCTTTCGTTTTTTAACAATTCATACCCAGGATGATTTTCCTCAAACACATCACTCATTTACAAGAATGGATACCAACATCTCGCGCAAACAAACCACGTAACAGCTACAGCCAAACCAGAAGGAGCTACTTCCACTTGCGGGAAAGCAGCAGATTTTTCCATATGCTGCGCTATGATTACACCTGGCCAGACATGCGAGAGGCCTGTTACCCTGACAACATCTCACACTTTCTCTAGCAGGTAGCAATGTATTGGCTTTTCTGATAGGCAATTACTTTCTGTGTCACTGAATGTGTGGATTTAGCTCTGGGGCATGGGGCGGCACCACGCTGTGTAATCAGTGGTGGAAAAGCTCCCCCCTCTTTGCAAAGAGATTTGGAAAATGGATCTGAATAAAATGGGGTCTTGCATGAAATGGTGTCAACTACTTTAGCCGAAGGCAAAGAGCAAAGCGAAATCTGATCATTAACAGTAATTAAGAGGTAAAGGGCATAAGAAGGGGTGGGAAAAGGACACAGAGCTTAAAGAGGTAACAGGCATATCTGCTGAAAGAGGGAGCTGTTAATGAAGGGACTTGTTAAGTGAAAGAAGAGGAAAGCTAACATTTGAAAGAAACAGATTCCAATTCTCAGAAAGAGCCAGGAAAAAAGAGGGAGGTAGAAGAGGAACACAAAATGTACCTGCACAGCACGACCTCACGATGGCATTGCTGAGTGGTCAGCTGTATTAGGAGGACTGGCTCCAATTCCAGAACAAAAGAAAGAAATGGGAGAGGTGCACGTGTGGGATGAGACAAGGGACATTCTCAGCTACAGTTGGCCCAGGTCTTTGCAGCTCTGGCCCTGGTTTATTTACAGTACAAAGACAATGCAGAAAGGGCTACGAACATGGAAAAGCAACATCCTAGTATTCGCCACGAGCTGGGAATGAAAACAACTGGAGCTGCTACTCTGGCAACTGCTCTGGCAGAGGAAGGAGGACTGGGTTCAGTTCTCAGGCACACATATGCCTTGAGCACCATACTGTGTATGAACAACTGTTCCATCTCAGTCCTATGGCCATGCTGTTGTATTGCAAAGTTGTATGAAAGAACAGCACAAAGGAAAAAGATAAAAACTGTAAAAGCCAGAAACACTTGAACAGTAATGACATTTCTAAGGCTTAAAGAAACCTATGTGCAGTAGTCTAAGGCTAACTTTTTTCTTCTTTTTTTTTGGAGAATTGGACTGAGGATCTAACACCCACATCCTTCAGCACTGTACCAAACGCAAAGAGCTTTCTAGAAAACCTTCTTGAGAAAAAGTTCTCTTGAGACATTCCCACTCTTCTCCAGCTAGACCACTCTAACTGGTATATGGAGAGTTACAACAAACTCAGTCACTGGAAAAAGGCGTGGCCCAAAGAGAGCAGGTACAGTGCTGAGACACAAGCACTGCCTTGGGAATTACAACAGGTTGTTTTGCCTTTTACAGCTGAGTCCTTGCTCGTGTGATACCTCTTAGCTTCTCCTGCAATACAGATAATAAAAGGGAGTCTTTCCACTGGCATCAGTAAGTCCTCCCCCCCGTGTCGGCTCCATTTCTCTCTGCTTCCCTTCTCGTGGATATTCACCAGCTGCTTTTTGCCTTCTTCCTTCTCTTTCTCAGACTGCTCCCAAGGCAACTGCCATTAAAGGTACCAGATACTCTGCTTACCAGGCACGTCACATACTGAGGATCACAATATCTAGTTTAGAAAAGAAGTGGTGAAAGGCAATTAAACATGCAAATTCAATGTGGAATTTCAGTGGGAAGACGTAAAAATGCAAAGATAAGCTCTTGGGAAAAGAGCATGACAGACAGTAGCGAGAGCAATTTTTCAGACAGACTTGGGAACGAGAGACAGAACATCTCCAAGCACACAGTGCTTCCTCATCTTCTTGCAAACCTGCCACTGCACTTGGCTCACAGATAGTTGGATCAACTTCAGAACAAGCTAACTCAGAGAGACGTGCTTCCAAGAGAAGCAGCCTATATGCATTCAGAATTGAGTCTGGGCAGCTAGATTCATCCACTATTCCTGAGAACAGCAAATCATCCATTAGTTTTTCCAGACAGGACAACAGTTCAAAGACAGCAGCAAGGAGGAGCTTTCCAATAAACAATTAAAATAGACATGAAACAACCTTCCTCTGGCAGGGAGCAGGCTTCTGATGACAACCAGCTTATGAACCAGGCCGGGTGTGCACTTGCTATGCAGTCTTCATTCTCCTCCCATTTTGTTTAAGTAGTTGCTCAGAAATTTGCGCTAAGCACAACTCTCAGATGACAGTGAAGAACAGTGCATTCAAATCTAAAATCCCTCTATCCAAATTATATCTATATATAAAAAAGTATCTCTGTTCATGCTGCTCTTGCTTTCCACAACTGCATACCCCAGTGTCAAGAGTACAGAGACATCCTGATGTTTTTAGGACAGTTTGACACAGAGATGTAATGCCGTGTCTCAGTTCTCAGAAGCTTCAGAAGGAATCATAACCTCCTCCCTTATCAGCAAGTTTTGTTTTCTCTCTATGCTAAGGGATGATAGCAACAAACCAGGCAGGTGGCTGGGCAGGGTGGAATACATCTGACTGATGACAGAGGCTGAGCATAAGAAAAGCAGCAGGTGGGGAGCTGAGATGCTGCAGGTCAGAAGGTGAAGGAGAACTCAGGAAACCCTTGTGAAATGCAGTGGGGCTCATCAGATGTTGCAGCTCACATAGAAACACGTTGCCATCAACCTGCACACCAGAAAACGAGTAACCTTTGTGCGAGGTCCTCTTAGCAGCAGGAAAACACAACCGCTTAATCTACCTATTTTCTACTTGAATAAACATATTGACTGTGCCTAACCTGAAAGGAAACCTCTACTTGTCACTCCCGATGGCGATTGCTGTGTGGCCCCTTCCCTCATCTCATAGTATTGATTAGACAGGAGGCTGCTGTTGACTTTTAAGCCTACTTCACATCAGGAAATGCTCCAAGAGCGGCAGGTAAGGCTGGTATTTCGGTAACTGCCCAATGTGACTTTGAGGTCTAAACTCACTTCTGAGAAACCTGGCCTTTTTCAAATGCCTGGCTGCTATTTCTCCTTGGGATAAGCACAGGAGAGGGTCCAGGCGTGGATCCAGAGAAGCCAGAGAGGAGACGAGAGATGACAAGGAGTTGCATTCTTTTGTGGCACTATTAGGAAGCAATCTTAGAATATGGGATATTTAATGTCCCTGGACACATTACTTTCTAGTGTAAATTTACAATCCATACAGCTAGCGTGCTTCAGGGAATTCTATATCCACTCATTTAATCTACCAAAAAAAAAGCCCAAACACCCAAATGTGAGAAGCATGTACCATACCCAGCTTTTTATGTTACCAAAAATGGACTCCAGTATCAATCAGGAGCTTTGCCAGATTTCCCAGCAAGGTGTCCTTAGAAGGCAGTGCCAGTTATGGGCGTTATCCTTGTCATTGCACAGCTTGATTTTATTGTGTAGCACAAATGTCAGCAGCGCGCATTTGGCTTCACAGTTTTTTTATTTATGCACTCTCCCTACTTCATTTGTCTGAAGTTGCTATAAGATGTGGCATTCTGCAAGACAATCTATGAAATGTACTCTGTGAGTTGGAGATACTTACAGGAAAAAAAAGCCCAAGAGAAAGACTCAAACAGGGATTTCACAGCAGAATTCAAGATAATGGGAAAGCTACTGAACTGAAGTAGCTCAGCTGTCCTTCAGTGCCCCCTGAATGGATGAGATTTGGAACTACAGGCTGAAAAGACACAAAGGCTTTTACTGAAAGCTTTATGGTGATACAAAAGAAAAATATTTTAACTTTTTTGGTGAAGTTTTATTCAAAGTCAGACAATAAGATGCATTTAGGTTTTGTGTTCAAAATCCCCTTATGTTCTTGATGAATTTAAAAATGGCACATTGTTTCACACAGGGAAATGGAAACACTTCAGAGAAAAATTGACAATGATAGACTGATTTTTTTTCAGCTGCTTGATGAATTCAGTATTAATTCACAAATAGTATCACTTGACCCAATTCTGCATTTTTTTCAGCAGATAAAATAATCAAGTGGAAGTTTCTCTTAGATTTAAACAGAAAATCTGTGAGTCCATTTCCTATAGACAGTTCTTCCCACAATAGGTTACCTTTTCAGTTCTGTCAGGGTAATCATCAGCCCAATACTGGATGCTGAAATCAAGGTGGAAAAAGATGCTTCAACTCAATCTGACCATGTGTGGTAGTGCTGGGTCCTAAAGGTATTTGGGCTATGCTCTAGTTAGAATATCTATTACACATCGGTTGTAAGTTCTATTTGTATATTCCTGAGGGTCTGTGTCACAACGCACCAAACCCCACAATGTTCTCTGAGCTGAAGACCAGTCTTTGGCAGCTGCAGGCAATTGTTTTTAATGATGTTGTCAAGACTGTAATTGTGCTAAGGGTTGTGAAATACTAAGGGTGGAGAATTGGCTTTTATTGCTTTACTGCAGGGAATGTTAGAGAAAAATGTTTAAGGAATTTTAAAAGAAAAAAAAAAAAAGCCACCATTAAGAATGCAAATTTCCTTCACAGGGCAAGAACCAGAATACACTGTGTCTTTGCAATGCACTTCTCTGCTAGCCTTGAGACCCCTTCAGTCTCACCCATCCTGCCCTGCTGAGGACGTGGAGCCATACCACTTGTTTGACTGAGGTGTTTGTGGCTCCTGTTCTTCAAGAACAGTACCAAGAAAAATTAACTGAATCAATTTTCTGTATCTCTTCCCTCCAACATTCCTGTCCCCTGACAAGACAACCAGAGTTAAAAGAAAGTGGCTTTCACAGTGAAAAGTACATTCAATGACCACTCAGTGGGCACCAGGAACAACTGTGAACAGGGGACTGGAATAATATTGTAGCCAGCTGGTGGGAGAAATTTTAACAGCTGCTTTGTGAGACTGAAGCTGAGCTGTACTACAGATCTAAGCCCAATGCCTTCTCTACCACAAGAAGTCAATGCAACTGAGCTCCACATCTGAAACTGAAGAGAGCCGAAGGGTTATCTGGAGCAACCACAGCAGTTTCAGGAACCTCTTTAGTTTCCCATTCCAATTTCACTGTAGTATCTCAGCTCCTTTGCTTTCTCCCTACTGCCGGCTCAGTGCTGGAGTTGTCTATCTTTTTCTATTGCACTGGTCACAGAAAATGAAGGCTGACAGACAAAGAGTAGGAATAGAAAATGAAGGAGCAAATGACAACCGGACAAGTCTCCTAATTAACTGTCAAAGTCAGGTGGCAGAAAGACATTTGAGGGTCCTTCAAAACACTTCCTTTGACATGTACATCATAGAATCACAGAATCATTTAGGCTGGAAAAGACCACTAAGTCCAACCGTTAACCTAACACTGCCATTCCACCACTAAACCATGTCCCTAAACACCTCGTCTGCCCGGCTTTTAAATACCTCCAGGGATGGGGACTCGACCACTTCCCTGGGCAGCCCCTTCCAGTGCTTGACAACCCTTTCAGTGAAGAAATTTTTCCTAATATCGAATCTAAACCTCCCCTAGCGCAACTTGAGGCCATTTCCTCTGGTCCTGTCACTTGTTACTTGGGAGAAGAGACCAACTGTCCCTGCCTCCCTCCTCCTCTCAGGCAGTTGTAGGGAGCGATGAGGGCTCCCCTCAGCCTCCTCTTCTCCAGGCTGAACACCCCCAGGTCCCTCAGCCGCTCCCCATCAGCCTTGGGCTCCAGACCCCTCACCAGCTTTGTT